CCTTCTCCTTGTGGGGCGGGGCCTCCCTCCGGGGCGGGGCTCCCTCCTGCGGTGGTTCCGGCAGGATTTGGGCAGCTGGAATCGTACAAATTGAGTTCTGCAGCCTTGGTTTTCCCTCTTTGGCCAGTCACTTTGGTAAAGAAGACGATTTAAAACAAAATGATTTTATTTTGACCCCAGTCAATAGGAAAAAAGGAATGGGAACTTTGTCTCGCGATGACCTTTCTCAAGAAGTAAGTGCCTCAATTCCGTGTGCGGCATGTTCGTAGGATTGGTAGACTGCTTCGGAAAGTGTCCACAGTATTGCGCAGACACCAAAGGGAATGCTGGTCTCTGGGCGCAACTCCTCTGACTTTAATGTGAACTTTAAATCAGCAGTTGCCTTCTTCCTACCCTATGTGAAGTTTATTTTTTAATTGCTAAGTTGTGGCTCTCACTTATGTATTACTAGAATCTTAAGAGATTGTCTTTTGAGAGCCCAGTGTGGTTTTGTTGTTGTTCTGGTTTTTTATTTTTTTGAGTAAAGACCCCATCGTACAGTACTGTTCGTTGTTCCTTCCCAAGTGCCATTCCTGCTTTCCACTGGGCTGAATTTATATGATCTAAAACCATATTACTTTTTGGTCGGTGGCCATGACTCACTTTCACACATTCTCTTGGATAAACATTAATTCGTTTCTTAATCTCATACTGGCCGCCTCTAGTTACCAAGGATTCTTGGCCTGTGGTGTCTTCGTATTCGTTGAGCCTAGTACAATAAAGTTGGATAAATAAAATATGTCGAATTAAAGTATGCCTTTCCTACATAGTAGTTCTGTTTCCAGTCCAGTAAAAGTTTCTTTTTTTGGATAGTTCATTTGTAACTGCCTCATGCAGTTAGAATGCCGCCTCATGTAAATTTAACCCTTTTCTCCTTTGCTCCTGTTCATACTTCATTTTTACCTCTGGTAGAGCAGTTTCATTGATCAGTCTTGGTTCTCTGAGGATATAGAACATCATTCGTTGTGCGTTTCAATTTTCAGTTTAGTGCTTTGTGCATGGTAGATATTAGGAAATAGACATTGAATTGGGCTCATGCAAGTGTGATTATATATATGAAAGTAGAAGACTCTTTTTATCTACAAATGCAAACTTCTATAAAGAAGGTTGCCAGGGGAATAAGTGAAGTATGATATATATTGTATTTTCAGTTTTTATTGAAAGACTTAATGTTCCTTTCCTTTCCTCAGTATATATATATATAT